TTTACATGGTAATAATTATTTATAAATTACAAAAAATATATGCTATGTTACATTAAAATTTTAAGATAAAATAAAATATTTATTTAAAATTGTTTGATACAATAATTTATACTTTAGAGTTATTTTATTAGGAGAAAAACATTAAAGAGTATGCAAAATTTTATAATTTTAAGATGACTTTGCATATTCTCAACATTACATAGATACACATACTAGTTTTTTTAAACTGTGTCTATCTCCATTAATTAATTATTCCTTCAACCACTTGCAGTCAGGACAATTAAGTCAAAATAATAATTTTTGTAACTAAACTTCTATTAAGTTATAATTTCCTCGTAGTCATAAAATTAATTTGGTTTCACTATTATGACTATAGAGAGTTCTTACTGTATATATAATTGCTCTCACTCACAGGGTCTCTCACTGTTATGGGGACAAGTTAAACAACTTCATATAAACTTAAGAAAAACTATGTTCGTGCAGTTATAACTAATTTAATTTACGTTGAAAAAAAACTCAGTGAGATCAAATCTAAAAGTTTTAACCCAAATACCGTCAAAGTAATAAACTTTTTGGGTGGGGTCACGAGCCCCCACTGGTCCCTTTAATAGATCCATCGATGCCTACTATCGTTGCTCTTTACTGAAACATTTGGACGCAATGTCGACATTGTCTTTGCCTCCCACGTTGAAACTTCTTAGTTTTGGTTGATTCTCGTATACTTTATATATAGTAATAATTGCAAGCGTTATAAATCCTATAATGTTTCCAAATTAAAAGCGAAAGATCCTGAATTCAAAGATTACTTGATAATAAAGTCATATCAATAAAATCACACCTTAGATTTTATTCAAAAAATTAACAATACACATGTAATTGCCTCACAAAAACAAATACAGACGAACATTGCAGATAAATGTAATGGTGTATTAGCAATTACTTTGCTTCATCGATTCATAAGTCTGAATAACACTCAACACAAGTGCTAAAATTGCACCAATAAAAGCAAGAACCGTCCAAGGGCTAGTGAAATGAGTATGCAACCACTCTGCCAACCAAATCTTCAACCTGCTTTTGTAATGCTTTTCTATTCTGTCTTTAACAACCGCATACGCATGCGGGTGTGACACCGAATTATCAGCTATCTCATTAAAAAGATCAGCAACTTGTTGATCACTTCCCAGAAAATTCAGAAGTATACCTTTTCTTCGAAGCTCCATTACGTCTTCAGCATGATCAATCAGTGAATCCATGAAGCATATGTATGAAGAAACTCCGAAATCATCAGGACCACTGGGGCTGGACTCGTATGCTACCATGTTTAGCAGCATAGACTTTGTTGAATCATCAATGTATATTTGTGGAAGTTTCAGGACTGCGAGACACCCGGATTGAAAAGCAACGTCTGTGAATCTGTTAGTTTTGCTAGGCCTGAAATGGATTCCCACTGCCTTGAGCTCCTTCGCTGACCGGTATGAAAACCAGTCACTGCAACCGCGTGGAGGCGGTTGAGTCAAAACTGCTTTGTCGAAGAGATTCGTGCGAATGAGATCTAGAAGATGAGCTGGTTCAGACTCAAATTTTCCTGCTATTACATTCACATTTTGCACATGTTTTCTTCCCCCAAAAGCTAAATTACTAAGAAAATTATTTATGTTTTTCTTGTAACTTTGAGGAGGAAGACTACGAATTTGTGTAACAAACTTATTCAACATTGTCTGCTTGCTGTTTTCGTCTCCGAATTTGGACTCGAAGCTCAATTCATTGAGGAGTTGAAAAGGAATTTGATTTTCCAGTAAGAACAAGTCTCGTTGAACGAGAGCTATCATGTTGGTTTTCATCTTCAAAGCCTCTCGTTCTTCTTTTACAATGCAGTAGATGAACTGGAGGAGGAAGCAGGCATCAAGAAACATCATCTGACAGAACTCCTCGTTGTTGAACTTGGCGACGGAGCTCTGGTCAGTGTAGCATCGTTTTGCAGCTTCCGCCACGCGCCTGACCTTCTGATACAACTCTTCCAGCAACTTCAAGTCCCCATTTACATACTGGCGCGCCATTGTGAGTTTGTGCTGCTGCATTAACTCAAGCCTGGGATTTCCAAAGTGGTAAGGACCGATTGAAACCACCAGAGGATCATAGCAACCACTGTTTTCTTTAACCTCACGAAGCATTGCTGGAACTCTCTCTATCTTCGTCCGGATCACCTCGTGCTGATTCTTGAAGCTTTCTCCAGTCACGATATATTCAAGCCACTTTTTTTCATTCTCAGAAACAGGAACTGCTGTATTGTCACCATTTATAAGGACTACAATATTCTCTAATGGAGTCTCAGCACCACCTGCTAGGCTGCTGGAACTGGCTTCGCCTTCCCTTTCTCCCATTATTACTCTCTGTAATTAAAACTACACAAGTATGGTTTTGTAACGTGAGTTAATGCAAATTGATTAAATAGGTCCTGAGATTATAAATTTAATGAAACATACCAAGCATCTCAACTTTTCCTGGTCATCAAGCTTGGAATTGCTGCCAACTTTTTTAGGGAATAACAAGGTGAAGTCACCTGCCTCAAATTCTTTATTACTACTTTGGAATTTTTGAGTAGCTATGTAAACCATCTTTTATAATCATTAGTTTAAAATGAGTTTCTTTTAATTTATGGTATAAGGGAATGGCCCCCATCACAACCACAATATGTTCAAGTAATCTCTGGTATTTTTCTAAGTATTTTCGCTCGCATTTAAAACAAAAAGTATTACAATCATGCAACCTTTCATTCCATCTGGATAACCATTTTCTGCCGACTAAGTTCATGTCATGAATCACTTATAAAGAACAATAAAAGTTTGAAAACATTGCTTGTTACTGTTATAGATCCAACATCAATTTATTCTCAGTACAGAGTTGTGCTACATTGCAAGATACTGACACCTAAAGTACTTTCTTTATTTCAAGTATGGTTTGGTTATGTTATAAGTTTATGCAAATGAATTCAGCAAGGCCAGAGCTGCTTATAAATTTGATGAAACAAAACAATCGTAAGTAACAGTCTACTTGTGATTTGATGCAAGTATCAAGCTTGGAATTGGTGCTGCTATCTTTTTGAAGGAATAATTATGGGCCATATTATTTATAAGTACCACTTTGGAATGTTATATAATCTTTAGTTCGAAAAAGAGTTGCCTTTAATTTATTCTATACAATAATACTAAGTTATGTACTACATCTTTTTATGAACTTAATTAAGCAAGTAATCTAAAGCTGGTAGTACTTTCAGTTGCAATAATATTAAAAACAAAAAGTAGTATAAACAAATTTAGTTACAAAGGTCTTATCTTCACATCTAATATACAACTTGTAACACAGAAAACGATGCTGCCTTTAACATATTGCTAATTGTATGTTACTGTTAGCTGAAAGTCTTCACCCTTAATCTGATGTTTATTCAGTCACAAGCCTCACCTTCAATATCATAAATTTTATATTGAATAATACTTTGAGTACTAATGGATAGGTACTAATTTGTGTACTAACTAAAGCATAGTACGAGTACTATGCGCATAGTACGAATACTATGCTTTAATTAGTACACAAATTAGTACCCATCCATTAGTACCCATAGCATCACTCTTTTATATTTCATGGTATAAATTACAAGTCTCACAGCCCGAACCATATTCCGGCAATAGACCATTCATTTCAAATGTGAAATATAATTTCAAGTGATTTGATTTCTTTCTAAAAACTCCATTATGGAACCCTCAAGGATTCTGGCCTTACTGTACCCACAGACACTCTACTTGAACATCATATCTAACCAATGTTTTGAAAACCGGATCAGACCGACTGGTCCAACCGGGTTTCGGACATATCCGGTTTCACAAAGGATAAAAACCAAAATTTAACAATAAACCGTTATTAGACCAGCGTAACAGTGTCAGACCGTCGGTCCAACCATCCTAGATGAAAAATCGGCTCACTGAAAAAGCCCTAAATCAAATCTAGTTTCCTTCTCCTTTCCTTCATTCACCTGCAAATCTGCGTTTTTCATTGTTCACCACCCCTTCTTCTTTTCTTCATTTCTTCTTCTTCTTTTTCTTCTTCACCACCTCTTCCCTCATCGTCGCGTCCCACCTCCACCGTCACCTCCTCACCGTCATACCCACCCTCACCGTTTTGGCCACCCCTTACGTATTCAACCCACCTTCTTCTGGCCACCCCTTACGTATTCAACCCACCTTCTTCTGGTCCCATTGTTTACATCCATCACCATCCGGAGATCTATGGGTTTTCGGGTTTAGACATTTAGTTGTGTTTCACTTGGCTGGGTTTTGGAGATATGTGGGGAAGAGAAGTGAATGGGCGGTTGGGTTTTGGAGACCTATTACAGATATGTGGCTGGATTGTTTTTTGGTGAGAAAAAAGAAATAAGGGGAGGGGAGGGGAGGGGGTGGTGAAGAAGAAAAAAAATAATGGTGCGGCTGGGTTGTTTTTTGGTGAGAAAAAAGAAATAAGGGGAGGTGAGCGGGTGGTGATGATGATGGCGAGGGACAGGTGGTGAAGATGGTGAAGAAATAAAAAGAAAAAAAAAGAAGATAATGGTGTGGCTAGGTTGTTTTTTGGTGAGAAGAAAGAAACAAGGGGAGGGGATGGGGTGGTGATGCTGATGAGGGACAGGTGAAGATTCAAGAAGATAAGAAACTCAAAAATAAATGACGGTGAGGGATAAGGATGACATCACCGGTTCGACCCACCGGTTCGATCAGTCCGACCACTCAAACCGTGACCCGATCGCTTGACCAAGTCACGTCCTGGTCCGGTTTTCGGACCACTGTATCTAACTGGTTCCCTTTTCGGAGGCATGTAACATGTGAGTTGCAGAATCAAGCTGAGGGCATTCCAATGGCAATGCCAACTCAAAGCAAGGCAAAAAGCAAAGTGCATAGTCATATAAGAACTTCCTTTACTTTGTCATAAAGGAGAGAACGGAACACAAATAAATCTTCTATCAGGAAATCTATCATCTCAAAAACTAATTAATATATAAACAAGTGAAACATATACCCGGAAGCTATTTCCTCTGACCATTCCTTCTTATTATAGGTGTTTAAAAATTGGTCACATTTTCGAACTAAGAATAAGAGAACAAAATCACAATGAATTAGCTAGCTCTAGGACAGCTCTCGGCTTCGCTTAGCAGCAGCAACAACAGCATTCATTAAAATCCCACGAAGTCCACCCTTCTCCAACTCATGAACACCGGCTATAGTAGTCCCACCAGGTGAAGCAACATCATCTTTAAGCTGACCTGGATGCTTCCCAGATTTAGTCACCATTGATGCTGCTCCCAACACCTGCAGAAGAAAAAGTTTAGCTGGCTGTGCAAAATGAATTTGAAATAAAATAATAATGCTGAAGCTTAAGAAAACAATTACATGAAATATCCAAGAAACTGAAAATTACATAAACCAAAGAAATATAAGATTGAAGAGAAAGCAATTAAAAATCACTTCATTTTCACTAATACTCAAGTCTGAAGAGATAAGAGATGGTTCTAAGATATCCGAAAAACTATTGAACGCAGTCATTTCAAGTTACAGTGCAACTTCATCGTTTTGTTTAACTAAAGAGGAATTGTGACAGTTCTCTATAGATAATTTATTTCATGTAGATCTACTCCTATACTGGTGAGCATGGAAATGAAGCTTTGTATAATTCTCTACTTGTAAAAATTTCAGTACCCAACATCAGATAATGATACAGCAAAAGTGTAAATAGTGCGTAATTTCACTTGTAGACTCATACTACAAAGTACAGATCTATTTCCACACCATAGCTCCCAACTCATTCCCATAATTTCCTTTAGTCAAAACCAATACTTACAACCACAAACCTAAGGGGCAATTACATTGTACTATGAGCATAACATTTACATTGCATTTGATTCATTATCCGAAAACAATTTTTTAAAAAATAAATTACAATCTAAATTTGAGTTGTTCATCGATGTCTTATATCGAACAACAAATTTGATATAATACCTGAAAATTGTTCAGCTTTCAAAACTATGGGAAACTAGAATCAGGACTTTGTTTCTTTGTCAACCAAATGTGTTATAATAAAACTGTTTGTATCTCTAGTTCTCGCAAAACAGAAAAAATTATAGCCAAATTTAAATTAAACAAGCCCTAAATTCTTGCCACTTTCTCAACAATAATCGTAGTCTTTATTGCAACCAATATAAATACTAACTAGGTGGTAGCTGTGTACAATGTATGCTTAGATAGGATAAAGAAAGCCCATTCCAATAAGAGGATTGGGTTTAACACTTGAAGAATGTTATCTCCTATTACATGGCTCATAAAACTAGTGAATGGAAGAAATCGGTATCACTAACTTACAGTTTGTGACGCTAGACCTAGCGCAAGTTCTCGTGGTACACCTGCAGCTACTCCACCATCAGCTAGAGCTTCAATTGCCAAGAAAATATATGCTGGACCGCTGCCACTGAAAATTTATAATAAAAAAAATGTTTGATTAAAACAACTAGCCAACTCTATTTGTCCAGAAACAGATGCATTAATAGAGAAACATATTGTAGGACTTATTCTTGCCCATGGACCCAGGAACCTCAGTATGGTAAATAATGAAACTAGTCCTCGTGGGCAATTATTATATGAGAGAATATTCCAAGATACTGAGATTATAAAATGGGAGACCATATACCTCAAACCAGTGATTCCATCAAACGATTTCTCATCAGCCCGCCATACCTTGCCGACTGATCCAAACAGTTTAGAAATTAGTTCCCCATCCTCTTCTGTTGCAGCTCCTCCCAAGCTCATAACTTTTACAATACAAGTAGATTAGTTACCTTTAAATTTTCATGCAATATGCAAATTTGAAATGGAAAAAACATACTACAAACATGAACTAGATGAACTCATAAATAAATGTAATTTGTCAAACAATGAAGGTCTTGGCAGTAATTAACGTGCCAACACATATCTCAGTAATTTATCTGTTAGACAACAAGAAATACAATCTTATTTTTGCAATGTGTAATTAGTTACTTAGCTCCAGATGTTGGAGCTGAACTGCTAGTTCTTATATATCAGATCAAATATTTTATCAACAATTCTACAGCAGCTCATGAGAAATTTTTAATAAAGGAAAATTCCCTTGTATGCTATTTGTTTTGATTACAAATTTGAACATTATAATAAAATGCACTCGTAATTCGGTAATTTTTTCATTTAATATAATAGAATTATATGAGATAGCAGTCCAGGATTTCTATTGCTGAGATAATAGGGCAAAAAACAGTTAAAATGTCAAGGTAGAGAGGAAAAACACACCTGTTGCTCCCTCACCAATGGCTGAAGGTGTGTTGGGCATCACCCTAATAAACCGGCTGTGACCAGCCCATTCCTAACAAATGAGAAACTTTATTTCAAAAAGCTAACAGATTAATATATTAAGAACCTCAACAGGCAATGGATGTCTGAAGCAGGCAGGAAGAACTAATTACAAAATCTGCAAACATATCTTGTAACCATAAAGTGCCAATATTTGAACAGTTTCAAGCCAAATCACAGAATAAATATAAAGTTATACCATAAAACTTAAAATTTCAAATGACTAATGAAGCAAAACAAAATTCAAAATAAATGTTCCATTTTCTGAAAAAGGGACTGATCGTAACAATCACAACTATACTCCAAATGCAAGAATGTTTCCCGCTGCACCAACACAATCCTACTTCAACAAAAGTATATGATGGATGAATAAGGTTCTTTAAATTATAAACAATTTTTAGTGTTTTGGATTTATAATAATATATTCTTTTAGGGCTGTTAGACATTTGTTTTCAAATAAACATTTCTTATATATATAATTCCTTTCAATTGAACTTTAGAATATAAATTTAGAATCTAAATAATAATTGTACCCTACTGATTGCAATAGTTTTTAAGTCATGTAAAACAGGTAAATGATTGATAAGCACAAACCTGAAGGTCCTTCAATTTTACTCCTGCAGCAACTGAAACCAAAAGCTTCTTCTCAGAAAGCATCGGCTTCAGTTGCAACACTACATCTTTTACTGCAACAACAACACCACAAGAAAGTAAAGATCACAAATAAATATTAATGATTCTCGGAAATAAAAAAGAAATAATCATCAGAAATCACATTACCTACTTGCGGTTTCACCGAGAAAATCACCACGTCACTGGCTTCAACCACCTATTTATAATTCCTTAATTGTAAAATTATCAAATGAACAAACAAACACAAAAGGAAGAGACAGAGAGAGCTAAACGCACAGCACTATTGTTAGAGTGTACGCCGACACCAAAGGATTCGAAAGCGATTCGGCGATTGGGATTAGAATGAACGGCAGTAGAGATACGTTGGGGAGGGAGCACACCCGATTTTACCACTCCTCTGGCAATACTCTCCGCCATTTTGCCCGCTCCAATGAAGCCCAGTTTGTAGGATTCAGGGGAGATTGGACTGGCCGCCATGTGTTTGAGATATTGTCTGACAGACTAAAGAAAACCACCAATAATTGAGACGACCTCGGCTGAAGTGAAAATGAAGATGGCAAGTGGAAGGAGAATATGATCTTTTTGGGGACGGAGTTCTTGTTTCGTAGTGTCACATGTCAAGGTCGACACTCGGACTGCTTTTCGTTTTTTTAAACCCACGTGGCTTTCAAATATTGGATATTGGTATTAAAATTTCAATTTATATTATTTTATTTAAATAAGAAACTATATACTCTCACGCGTGGCCAACTCCACCAATAGCAGGGCCGCGCTTGGCGTAGTTGCACCAGGTCGACACGCATGGTTAAAAGAGTGATGGCATTTCAACTCTGATTTATTAAAGGACTTGTACCCACCCAAGGTTTGGCGAAATAGCAGGTTTCCACCCCTAATTTCATAAATTATAGAATCTCACCCTTAAAATAACACCGTTAGCAACTGTTAGATTCTAACACATGTGCAAATGATACTATTACTAAATTGCCCTCTCATCTTCTTCTTCTTCATCTCACCAGCTCCAAATCCTCTTAAAGCCATGGCCACCATCGTTGCCGCCACCACCATCCTAAAACTCATCCTAATTCTTCTCAGTATCCTCCTCTCCTCCACATTGCAATTACAGAAATATCCAATGATTCAAGTTTTAGTATGACTTAAAACTAAGATAAGTAAAAATTAAGAGGGAAGTAATTGCATTATCTTGTATATATAAAAGATGTGGTGCGAATGAAGCCATTCTTCAACTTTCAGCTTTTTCACCAATCACCATGACATCTTTCATTTCTAACTTCTCTCCCTTTGGTACCATTTGTTGTTCTTCATCTCCATCAAACTCCACCAACAAGTCAGCAATGAAGCAGCCGAGAGAAGACTGGAGGAGAGGCTCCAAGGCCATTCCTTTGGCTGGAACTTATCCAGCCAAAGACCACTGTAGGTTCTAAACATTTCATTTATTATTCCATCCAAGCTTTGTTTTCATCAATTTATTAATTAGTTAATTTTTTTATTAAATACATGCATTGAGCAGTCGCTGCGGTAAATCCCTTGGCCTCAAAAAGCAAAAGCTCAGCCACCTCTACTTCTACCTCAAAAAGCAAGCAACACACAACTCATATCAAGCAATCGGATTTCTCGATATCAATCTAGGACCCATAGTTCATTGTATAAAATAGAGTATCTATTTTCTTTTTCCTAGAAAAACAGATTTGGTGTTAGTTATAGGCGTGGCTTTTCTTCGAGCAAGTTGTGGGCGAATACAATAAGCAATTAGGAGCAGGTGTTAAATGTGTTTGATTTGAGGTGAAAACTGGTGGTGGCAAGGCTTCCAAGTGCACAGCAGTCACGCAAGAACAGCTGTGGTAGCCGGCGAACAATGAGCTGGTACGGCCAGGGGGTTATGGGGATTTGACAAGGGTTGGGGGATGATGCCGGCGGTAGTGTCAGGTGGGGTGTTGGTGCCTTCAATCGGCCGGAATCCAACCAAGGAGCAACAATCGCGCAAAGCAAAAAGCTATGGTGGCCGACGATTTGCGGGATTAACAGGCTGGGGGATAGAGGCCGAGAGAGAGAGGTTTTGGAAGAAACGAAAATATTAAAATCTGTTAAATGGATATTTTAGCCTTTAATTGTTAAAAGAAATGAACGGTGTTAATCTAGGATTTATAAACCAGGGGTGGGAACTTGACATTTCACTAAACCTTGGGTGGGAACATGTTGTTTGCTCGATTTATTATTTGTTTTAACAATTATTATATTAAAATAATCCATAGTAGAATTAATTCATTAACATAATGAAAAAATATATTATTCTTAAAATCTTAAAAAGATTTTTTTTCAATTATATTAACTATTTATTAATTTATCAATTTATATATTTAAGAGGGAGATAGAAGGTGAGACATGATGGTCGACACTTTCAAGATTTTGAAGGATTAATTGAGGTTATGAATACAATAATAAGGGAACATAATAATGATATTATAAGGAGCCTAAAGTGGCAAAGGCACCTAATTGGATCCAAATGGCTTGAGTCCATAGTTGGTGTTAATGAAATTAAACCACAATACATTATGTGAAAGGGAGAAGCTTTTTATAAGTAAAACATACGAAATAAGAGTATGTTTGACTGAGCTTATAAAAATTAGCGTATAAGCAGTTAGTACTTATAAGTTAATTTGAGTTTTAAAAGTTAAACAGTTACGTGTTTGGTTAAAATATTTATAAGTAATTAACACATTTGATAAAATATAGCTTATAATTATATTTTATTATTAAAATAAATAAAAATGGTACTACATTATTAAAAATAAAGGTATATGATGGAATTTTAAAATTAAAAAAGGGTAATGTGGTAATATACTTAGTTAAAGTAGTTTATAAGCAAAAAAAAAAAAAAAAAAAAAATTCACCCTAACTTATTTCTTTGAATTTATAAGCTCAAAAAAATTATAGACAAACAAATCAACTTATTTTTAGAGCTTATAAACTAGTTTGACCCAGATCAACTTATAAGCTCAAACAAACACTCATTAAGTAAAACATTTAATTAAACATAAAACGTAAATTATTTACCCACAACATTTCATCAAGTTGAAGAATCAAATATGAGACTGTGTAATAAAAATTAAACAATTGATAGACATTGTTATTAGAGATTCTTTTCAATTGTGCTCCCTTTTTCATTTTAGAGAATAAACTAAAAATTTATCAAATACAAAATTCAAATTCAAATTAGGAATTGGTTTCAAGATATGGTAACTTGCAACAAATTTAAAACTAAAATAAAATAAACAGCACACCAAATCAAAATCGAATGATTTCAAATCCTAAAATCTTACAAATATTTATTATAATTTTCTTTCTATTATTTGAATCTATCTTCCATCTTTTCAAAATATTTTAATCATGAATACTTAATCTCCAAACAAAGAATTCAAATTACAAATAATCTGGCATGCTTAAGTTTTCAAGCGGTTTATGATTGACATTTTCAATCTTAGTAGCAAAACTTAAATTTTTTAATATATATATATAAAAGATATTGACTTACTATCTAATGCCTAATGGTTGAAATTAACTTACTAATTAAAACAATTCACATTACTCACATCCGATAATTTCTTTAAATCTTAATTAATTAAGACTTAAAAAAATAATAATAATAATAATTGGATGTGAATGTGTATATAAGAATTATCCATATGTTGTTGCGTATACAGTTCACATGTGTGTTATAACTTACAACAAAAATTGAGAATCAAAGTATATAATATATCTCTTGTAAACAGCTAAGAATCAAAAGAAATATCTCTTGTTCCATTATTTCGAGTTTCGTCAGCTCCATTTCTTGAGTCCTTTTAAGAGTTTTTGTTCCATGAAGTTCCTTGTTTAACTCATGTAAAGTAAATAATCTTTGACCCTTTTATAGGTTTTTTTGTTTCCTTGTTTCAAAAGTCAGTCATCTTTAATATTTACTTTATAATCCTTGAATTTGGGAAATTATGTTACCAAAATACATATAGAAATAAGTCAATAACATCAAGGGCAATTAATTTATACAAATAGGATAGGAACATCACAATATCACATAAAAAGAATAATGGTGGGTAATTTTAACAAAAAGTACAAAAATGAGCCAAAAAAATAATAATAACTCTTTCAAATGTGTCAAGATATCAAAGTGTTCCTATAATTTAAGTTTTGACAGGGATTTTAATGGACCATCAAAAAGGGAAAGGAAACTTATATTTCATTTTCCAGTCAAGAAAATACAAAGCCCCAAAACTGCTATCACAATAGCCTCAAGCCTCAGCCTCAAATATACTTGACCAACTAAAATTTCANATAGGAACATCACAATATCACATACAAAGCATAATGGTGGGTAATTTTAACAAAAAGTACAAAAATGAGCCAAAAAAATAAAATAACTCTTTCAAATGTATCAAGATATCAGACAAAGTGTTCCTATAATTTAAGTTTTGACAGGGATTATAATGGACCATCAAAAAGGGAAAGGAAACTTATATTTCATTTTCCAGTCAAGAAAATACAAAGCCCCAAAACTGCTATCACAATAGCCTCAAGCCTCAGCCTCAAATATACTTGACCAACTAAAATTTCAAAACCTCATAAGCATCCCTTGATTTTGCACCTTTCAGTAAAAGAAAGAAATGGACAAAGAATATACTCAAAACATATACACACTACGCATTTTCTATTCTTTTAGCTTCATTCTCTACCAATCGAACAAATAGCCATATTACATTGGTGAACAACCACACCCCAAATATATATATATGATTAAAACACATAGTAGAAGACCAACAACACGCAGCAGCTTCATCAAAAAACGACATGCCACCCATCACCAATGCATAAATTTTCACCAGCAGCAGCACTCGCCTAAAGAGGTGATTCAACATATCCATTAATGCAACACACACAGCTTTCCAAAAAGAAAAATTGATTAAGATGAGAGTATAGATTGTAAAGCAAGCTGCTGTTGAGGCTGCAATGATGACCAAGTTGATGCTAGAGTAGAGGGCGGTAATGATTGTTGAAGTTGCCTTAAAAGATTAATCATACGACTAACAGTTTGCTCTGTTGCAAGATCTTTACCCGCACATAAAACCTATATCAATTTCCCAGAAACAGATCATAAATAACTTGAAAGAAAAAAACTAACTTAACAAGAAAAAAAATAATTAAGAGAACAGATATGAAATACCTCAGCAAAAATTGTGACTATTTTGGGAAGATATTGATGGTTGGGCCCCAAAATTTCCCCATCCGACCTGTAAACAAATGCATTTTTTTTAAATACATATATATAAATATATAATAATGTCCACCAAGCATAGATAAACCCGCAGAAAAAAGAGGAAGAAGGAAACATTTCCAGATCTCTACCTTTCCACCATTGAACAAAGCTGGTCATGCACAAGCTTCGCCTCAATCAAGTCACCTTTAATTGGCAAGCAGCTTAACCAGGCGGGGACAACCTGCCAAATAAAACAGATTGAAGAATTTTTAGCCCTTCTATATCGTTTGACACTTCAAGATTCTAACCTTAAACCTAAACCTTTGATACAAGACAG